GATAAACGCCGCTTTTAGCGTCACGTTTAGCGTTAGACCTTGAAACATAGCAGAATCTCTGCACCCACCGCAAACCGCAGCCCCCACGATCACTGCATATATAAGTGCTGTATGTGATTTGCTACATGCGCAGCAACAACCAAAAGAGGTGCAGCGTCAAGTAGCAAAACTCAACCTTCCCGGAAAGTTTGGCGAGCCCCTGTAACCTCTCAAGGGGCAAAGTCATGCCCCACCCCTGCAGGACAACACACACATTCGTTCATTCGTGGTACGCCAAGCACCCCACGGGGTACGTGGTATGTGACCAATCCCTTAACTCCCCGCCCCGCTACATTCTTATTCTGCAGCCGCCGCGTATGCGACCCGTCATGTTCTACAGTTTCAGTTGTCCATTTCAATTTGGTGTACTTGTTGTTGGTGATACTTGGGAACAGAGAGCCTGTTCGTACTGCCCGGTTCTTGTATTCTCACGCCCCATCCCCCGACCCCCCCGTGTTTGCATGTCCCCCCCCCATGGTGGGCTGCGTGCTGTGTTGAGTTCAGCTGGAAGTGACGATGACGAAGAAGTCTCCGGCGGACTGGCCAGAGCTGGAGGGTGCAGCAATCCCTGCAGCCAGACCAGCCGCGGCAGCTACGGCCACGGACGCTAGCTCTACAAGTGGAGAAGCTGCCGTGGAGCAGCCTCCTACGAAAGTTGCCCGGCCGTACTCTAGCACCAAAGACTGGGATGTGGTGAGCCTGCTTGTGCTTGTTTGGTTTGTGTTGCCTCCAAGCTGAGAGCGCTGTGACTCGAGTCCTATTGCAACGCCAAGCCTCTGGACAATCTCCAGGAGTGTTCGTCATGAGTGCTGTCGAGCTTCGCTGCCTTCTTGCTGCCCGCTTTGAAGGCAGAGGCGCTCCGCTCTTTTTCAGGTTACTTTCCCACCGCACCCGCTCATCCCTTTCGCGAGTCCCAAGTGATGGCCTGTCCGTCGCCTTTGTGTGGTTTCGAGTTTTACGGTGGTTCCGTTTTCTGAACGCATCGTGTTTGGTGTTGCCTCTTATTTTGCGGAATGGTCATTTTGCTGCTGTCCGAAGGTGGAGAAGGAGGTGCAGAAGGAACTCGAAGCGGAGAAGCCGGGCGGGGAGCAAGCCTTGAACGACCTCTTCAAATCAATCTACGGCAAGGTTAGTCAGTCAGTGGCCGTTGGTGTTGAACCGTGTGTTGGTAAGGCTGTTATTTTTCTGTGTTGTCCCAGTTTTGTTTTGTCGTCAGCTGGGAGAAAGGCCTATGTGCTTGTGTGGGATACGAGGCTTTTCGTAGTGTTTACTTAGTGGGCTGCTCCTCCTGTCGTGGTTCCCTTTCGGTTATCAGCGCGTGGCATAATCTCCAGCCTGTACAATCACGCAAGTCTCCAAAGCGTGTGCTTCATTCTCGAAAGCATCCTACCTCGCGCGACGCTATTACGAATTTGCGTCATCGCGTTTCGCAGGCGGATGAGGACACACGCAGGGCCATGGTCAAGTCCTTCCAAACGTCTGGAGGGACCGTGCTATCTACCAACTGGGACGAGGTGATTCGGGATGCTCATGGCTAACCGCGCGACTCTATATATGTGCAGCTCATGTTTTGTTATTGCCGTAGTTGACGGACATAAACATGGCACGGCAGAAGACGCAAACAGCAACAAGCAGCAAAGATTGATTGTAGATAGTGTCGGTGCTCTCTACACTAAAAGCCACCGAGCCTGGAGTTTTCGGAGCTCCCAAAAATCGGGTGCTCATCAGTGTGGCATGAATCCCCCGACCACAACGCCAATTTCTAACTAACAATCAGCTTGCATTGCGCTATCAATATTTGCCCAGACGCAGCACTGGAGGCAGAGTTACCCGCGCGTTTCAGCCAGTACACATTGGCAAAAGTGACGTTCAAATCGAAGGCTTTTCTGTTTTTTAGGCAACAGTTTTCCATACCCCCAACTCTTAACCGCTGACACACCATCTGGTCAAGACTTCGTCAACGCTGGTGCACCTCAAACGACCGCGGGTTGCTAGTTATTCAGCAAGAGACCTTAAGCATGTAATTTTTTGCGCCCGCACGTGAGTTGTAGGTCCTATTTGAAACGGACAAGTGTCGTGTCATCGCACCTGAAAGCGCTGTCACTTTAACCTTTATTTGAAGCTCTCGTTGTCAAACTTTCGGGCCGCAATAGGTATTGAAATCGCTTGTTACTTCGACAAAGTGTGGGGATATTTGCGCAGAGGTAGCATAGGAATTAAGGGAAAATAAATACACACACAGAAAGACTACCATGCAATATTGATCCGCACGAAGACGATCGCACCATCGACGGCTTCAATCGTAGTAACGGAGAACGGCAGAGGAAAGTACGCCCAAGAAGAGTAAGGCTGGATCTGTTCGTTCGTTAAACGTGGCGACCTTGTCCCGCCACTGCTGTTACCTGTCTCAATGAAGCTATCTTATCCATTGATGTATACCCATGGTCCTGCTCTGTACTGTAGGTTGGTAAGGCGGACTACGAGAAAGAGCGCCAGGCGCCCAAGGGGATGGAGTGGAAGACATGGGAGGGCGAGAAGCTGCCGCAAAAGGAAGACGACGACAACTGAAGTACTGTACATCGAGACCGACGAACGATGCACGCAACAATCTCTGTGCAGCACGCTTGGTTGTCTGTTTCGTCGAGCATTCATCTGTTTGATTGCTTGGCGATGATTGTGCCGGAGAGGCACGAGTTGGAAGTAGCAGCAAACGGTTCGGATAGAGCAAGGGTAGAGCGCGCATACTGTACGGTTCAAGCCGCGTTGGCTGTACCGAAAACATCGTCAGGATCATGCGCGTTCTTTGCAGAGGCACACCCCTAGCCAGTGGACCCATAGTTGCTCAGCCTTTTGAGTTTGCTCTACGGACGGCAGCCGGGTGTGCAAGGAGAAGGTGGCGATGAAAGTCATCGAGAAGCTCTTCACAGCTTGCACAAACGATATCTGGATTCGAAGTTGAAACAACGTGTTTTTTGTAGCAACGGCGGTACCGATATACACCCTTCAGTCCATGCCGCTGTGCGTTTGCAAGGAACCTCAACGAGTTTCTGGTGGTAAATTGAGTTCGAGCTCGAAGACGACAGACACGGTCAACTGGTAGACGTTGTAGTGAGACGCGAGCGAGGAGTCTTGTGCCTATCATGAGTTTTCCCGCGTGCTGCCTTGATGCACCCACTCCAGTTTGGCGTCCATCGTTGCTACCGAAATCATTAAAAAAAAAAACCATGCATGTACGCGAGAGACGTAGATCGACCGCTTGGCTGACGTCTCCACAACAGCAGTCGTCGATACAAACGACATGCAAGCCTTTTGTGACACCGTTCAGAGGATTGGTTCGTTTCGACAGCACTCCCTAAACCTGACCACGTGTAACTGCAGCAAAAGCCTTCGTCGTATCGGCACCACATGTGTTCTGTGCAAAACATCGGCCTCGTCGTGCCATCGCTACCAGCCAGGTACCTGCCGTCGGTACGCCCAAGCGACGTTCCCCCGCGCCAACAAGCGCACGTTGCACCGATCACGGACGGCTACTGCAACAAAACAGTTACGTATCTCTTTGTCATACTTCCACGTCGGCTATCTCACCCCTCTGGGTTCCCTGGTTTGCCAACAAACAAACCGTGTCCAATTCCAAAGAGTCCTGGGAGCAAAAACAGATCGACCACGTTCTTTTAAAAAAGCTTGCGACTAGAAATCCATAACAGCGGTTGCCATTGGACTATCGCAGTTCTTGTGTCAATGACGTCACACGTCCGACCGAAGCTTCAACCTCGCACCCATCCGACTCCCCTAACGCACATGACAACCCTTAGATGCTTTCCGCCATCTTCAGCCCTGCACGGGGACCGCCGCCGCCTCTGCGCTTGCCCCTGCCGCTCCCAAATCCGGCGTTGGGGGACCTCGCACGACCTTGATACCCTCAGCCGTCACCACCTTCTCGCCACCGAGAGACGTCGACCGGGCAATACAAGAACGTGTTACACGGAAGACCAAGAAACAGACGACAGTACAGACGACTCCACGCAAAGAGATATGAAGCAAACACACGTCAAGAGTTGGACGAATGAGGCTAGCCAGCCGACAGCGCGGATCGTGATCGTTCTCCATCACAACCGAGGGCTGGCAATTTTCTGCATTCCGCGTGTGCACTCTGCAGGTCGACTACGCCAGGCTTCGAATAGTCGACTCATGAGAGAAGAACGCAACGCAGGGACGATACGATACTGCTGTATTCGTCTGGGATCTCAGGGGGTCTCAACCATCTCCTGCAAACGCCCGACTAACGTTGCACCTCGCTGTGATACCAGGTGCTCTCGTCTTGCATTTCCCGTCATCCATTTCATGGAAGGCGCATAAAAGAGAGATGACTCACGAAACTCAAATAAAAAAATAGCCAAGACGGGGTGAACAAAAACAACGGAAATACCAAATCGGGTAAGAAGGTGGAGGAATAGATCAGGTAATAGGAGGAGAACACCAACACACTACTCGAGCGGGCAACTCCAAGCGTGTATTCCGTTTGCGATCCGCTCCTACACGGCAAGGTTTTTACGCTACGTCAAACATGGAACGGAGAAACGAATCCAACGCTAACGTTGTAACGCGGCGTGTTTCACTGGCGAGGTCATGTTCATTTGCGGGATGCATCTCGAACGGACCAACACTCGACTACGATTAAATGTTCCCACCATATTGATAAACCTCTTGTGGTTCGAGAAAAATCCCTTGCAAGTTGCAATAATCAGAGTTCGGAGGGATGTATCTAACAGAACCATGTTCAAACAAAAACGAACGAACGACGCATTATCGCACCTTGATGACAAAGTTCTTTTGCGCAATGAGGAAGCGTGTGTGCAGCTCCTTGATGCAGTTGTCGATGATGCCCAACGCCTCATCGAGCGAGAGACCCTTGACGTACTCCCTGTCCATCACCGACAACGTAAACGCCGCGCCATACCCGTGTGCGCCGTACGGCACCTGGAAAAAACAAACGAACGGCCCAGCACGACGACCCGCCATCGCGGCAATGGTCAGTCGACGCCTGTTGCTTTGCGGCGCTAAGAGCTTTGAAGGAATGGTGCTCACGCGTCACGGCGGAATGGGTGCTCAGCGATGAGCTCCACGACACAGGTCGGACAACAACAGTAATAACAAACATGGGGGGGTGGGATGGAAGGGCATAGGTTTCGACGCTAACATGGCGCTCAACAGCCAGCGACAAAAGGTGAGAACTGTAGTGTAGACCGGTCGCGCAAAATAAACTGATGGTACAGCGTTAGATACACGGTCCTGGCATGTATCTTTGGCATGTGCCTTTTCTCGTCTCTGGCGGTGTACCGAGAAAACGCCTCGCAAAATGAAGGGCAGCTGTTGCGGTACAAACAAGACGCCATACAAACCTCCGCCCTCATGCACCGATTCGTCCTGACTACCCGTCCACTAACAGTTGGGGGTGGGAGGGACGGTGGGTTTCGTCGACAGCTCACGCACACGAACATTTTCACGTCTCCGTCGTGCTTGAGTTGAGGGCTTGTTGGCGACTGAGGGACAGATAGCTCGTAGCTTCCGATGGGCCAACAAAGTAAAAGCGTCAGCAACAACTGCCGCCGACACAAACCAATTTCACACGGTTGCTACACGTGCAGGCAGCGAAAGGTCTCCGTTGTCTAGCTGCTACGATAAGGCGTGTGCCTCTACAGTAGGGTGACTGTGGGGAGAGGCAACTTGCGAGTCACCTTCTGCAGGGTCCCGAGGTAGTCCAGCCAGAACAACGACGCCTCGTCCTTGCCCGCTTCCCGCTTGTCAACGCCTCCCATCAAGAGCTGAGTCTGAAAGGGACCCTTCCGGAGTGCCTTTGCCAGCTGCGTATCATACGGCACACAAACGCAGGGAAATCAGAGAGAGAGAGTACGTTAGGCAAGCCGCCTGCTGCTCAAAAGCACGCCATGGTGAACACGGTAATCTCGATTAACTCCTCGGCGCGTGGATGCCGGGCAAGCTCGTTAGTATAGAAAATGGCAGAGGTTGAAAATTCTCATGCATAAAAGAGGGGTTTTGGGAGGAACATCCTTCGACCAGAAGCGTCATGACGCAGAGAGACGAGTATCATCGATGCTCTCCGATACAGCAATGCATCATATAAAATGCACCAATGTGCATCCAGCCAGACAGCTGAATCATAATTACCGTTCCAACAACTGTCCATACCGCCATCGTTATGAGACGTCAGATTCAGCCGGGTACCGTGGACATGTAATGTGCAAATAACCCATCTACGCCGACAAGAAACGCAGCGTACAATACAGCTTCACACCTCGCCCCGAATGAAGGTAGCCGCCGCTTTGGTGGTGAGCTTGACGTCGTTGTTCAGCTCGTACAGAGCCATGTTCTTCGAGATGTACTCGGTGAAGGAGACGCAGTCGGACTGGGGACCGGCGCAGGCGAGGGCCTTGTTGTCCGCGAGGTGCGCGATCTTGTCCATGTTGTTCTTGTATAGGAGGATAGACCGCGCCACTTGTGCGTCTGCCGCCAGTACCACAAACCTGGGAGGAACGTTACAAAGGGAAACTTCGTTAGGCCTGGAGAAAAAAGTCTGTTGGAAGCTTGCCCGAGTTATGCATAGGAGAATAGTTGCCGTACACGTGGTTCACACCGGCAGCTAATGTGTTGGCGTAACCGCAGCAGTTGGTGGGTGAGGGAGGGTGGCACGGGGGAACGGTACACCAAGTATAGAGGCATCATTCAGCTAAGATGTGGACAGGAAACAGTAGGAACTGACGGGATTAACATTGTCCCAGAGGCAATTCGAGGGTAGGGCGCGAGTAAAACTGCCGCTCGGGAGTCTAGGTTATGTGGACCGGTTGTGAAGGGGTGCTCGATCGTGTATTCCATATGCCACACTCCTGAGTACATGCACCGTTGCCAAAAATTGTTGCGAACGCGGTTTTCCTTCATTGCTGCCCTGCTTCATTCCAGACCAGACTGCAGCGACATCGTCTAGTATTGGTACATTTGTTGAGCGCAGGCCGACTACACCACCGCCCCCACAGCCGTGTTGCCCAACGTTTAGGACGAAAAGCTCACACTGCCGACGCCCAGACAACCTGGAACCATGCTGACATGATCCCTTGTTTTCGTTCGAGGATGTTTCGGGTGCCTCACCGAAATCTCGCCTCCCGAACCTTTTACCCTTTCCTACCAAAGTGGTCGTTGTGTAAAGGTGTTGATGAAAGGAGGGATTGACCTGCTTCGGGCTTTTATGGGTGTCAGTTGTCTGAGTGAACTCGTACGCTGTTGTAACTGGGGTAGTCTCGTCTCGTCCTGTGTCCCTCTGAGGGCGAAGCGAGAACCCTCGTATCTGCCAACTGACTGCTGTGTGTGCTTGTGTTGGGCGTTTCGCTGTGGCTTATTTAGCCGTGGCCCAATGAGACAAGACCACTGGCATACATTACCTCTGTCTCCTCCGAGTGCTACTACTACTGCTGCTGCTGCTGCGGCAGCGATTTCATGTATAGCGCATGCATAGGAGATGCCGATGTGCACGAGTTCATCTCTGTCCACCGCAGCAGTGCTGCTTACAGTATAGCCCTCTCCGCCCTGCAACGCCGTTTGCAGGTGCTTGGAGTGCAACGAAGAGATGAGAAGTGCAATATTGCCGTCTCCCTCTACATGTACCTCCTTCCTCCCCTATTTTAGAATCCTTTGAACGAGGGCCATATCGGTTGGTCTAAAACTGTCACAGATCGTGGACCGTTAGAGAGCGAGATAACGACGCAACGCACCACGAGAATCCAGCTGTGGATACGGATAGGTGCGGATGGTCGCCCCTAACAAGCAGCTTCGTTGCCACGCGAACCGGGCGTGTTGATCCAACGGGCTCTCTGTCTGCACGCATCAGTTACCGACTTTGCAACGCTCAGCAAGGCTTGCTGCAAAACAAGCGCTCTGGTTCCCAGTCTCAAGGACAATTCGGACGTGGCTCACCCTTCCCCTGCGATCCCCAACAAGGTGTCCATCTCTCCTAGCTCCTAGTCGGCTGCTGCAGGCAAGAGCTGATCCCGATGATCCTGCTTCCCTCTCTCTGTCCTTCGAACGGGCTCTCTTTTATTCCACCGTTCGTTGACCTCCGCTTCCAGACAAAGATGTGCAGTACTCCTCCTCACTACAATGGCCAGGTGACAAGCTGCGATAGCTGCTTCTGAGGAGTTGAAGGTGTACCGAACGCAAGCGCAGGGGAGAGAACACGCGAGAAAATGGACATTTGGGAGTTCATAGTGAAATGGGAGGCGAACGTTGTGCGGCACATAGGGGGAATTGTGTGGTGTGTTATTTCCCTGTGTCTGCAGGTCTCTGAGCAGGTTACACTCACAGTCCAACAACGCTGGAACGGCTGGACCAGATACGGATGCCGTCTAGGTAGCAGTTAAATATGAAGAGTTCACCGAAACCGCAAAAGACCAGGTGCAGGGTACACGGAGCTAGTTTCTAGTTGGCATAGAGCAGCACGATTGAGTTGAAAGATAAGGTTGCTGAAGTACCAAACGGTACCGTGCGGGCCGACTAATCTTTACTTTCCGGATCTTGGACAGGAGAACGCTGTCACACTCACTTACGCCTCCCTCCCCCTCTGCATATAATAACCCTACGTGCCCACCGTTGGCTGTGCTGCTCTCTCTCTCGAAGACTGCGATGGCGGGGAAAGAAGCGCTCAACTTCCAGTCCAGACGGTCACCTGTGCTGGGTACCCATGCCGCGGTGTCTACCTCCCAGCCCCTGGTGAGATGAAAAGAGAACATGAGCATCGTCCAGTGCGTCATTGAAGTGGTGACAACAACGTGCTGTGCTACATAGCGGCAAGCCGTTGCGCGTGATCTTCCCCTACAGACAGCGCAACCACCAGGATTGCAACGCACACACCGCCGTGTATCGCTTTTTCCAGCCTGCAGAGCACACTCTACATGCCGTAAGCGGTGTCTCACGAGAAGGCTGCTGTGACACGCCCGAGATCCTGACCCAGCCGACACGCGCCAGATCCATGCTCTCTGCTCTCGTTTCAGATTGACCTCGCTCGGTTTTTCTTGTACAGGCGACGGATATTGGCGCCAGGATCCTCCGGTTGGGTGGCAATGCAGTCGATGCCGCCGTCGCGGTTTCTGCTGCCCTATGTGGTAAGGAGTTCGGTGCTTCAACTTAGACTACTGCTGTGTGGCCTTCAGTGGCCCCGCCTGTATCGGAATTTTTTTCAGCTTGGACCACATCACACGCCCACACTCTCCACTACTGTACGGGAAAGCAAGGGCACACTGACGCCTGCCTATCTTGGCGCTGCCGACCCAACCCGAAGGAAGTTGACGCAATGGTCTGTCGTAGCTTCGACAGCAAAAAAGAGTGTACTCCATACCCAATCGAGAACGCCGCACGCCCTGGTTTTCCCCCCGGCCCCTGCCCCAATATACTCGCCCGGGAAAACGACCAGTGCTGGAGCCCTGCTCTACCGGCCTTGGGGGCGACATGTTCATGCTCTACTACGAAGCCTCCACCAAACAAGTCCACGCGGTGAACGGTTCCGGCAAGGCACCCGCCGCCCTCTCCCTGGAACGCTGCCTCGAAGACCTGGCAAAGGCAACGCCGGCGGCGGCGGCAGCAGCAGCTGCGACCGGCGGCGGCGGTAGCGGTCCGAAAGATATTCCTCCGTGCCACCCCCACTCGGTGACAGTCCCCGGGGCCGCGGCCGGGTGGTGCGACTCGGTGTCGAAGTTCGGCTCCGGCGCGTTGACGCTCTCTGAGCTCATGGAGCCGGCGGCGGTGCTTGCCGAGGAGGGTTTCCCCGTGTCGCCCATCACCGCCCATCACTGGGGGCTGAATGCGTACCAGCTGGAGACGGGGCCCAACAAAGGTAGGTGTGCTTTCGTTTTGTCTTGAGAAGAGAGAAAGGTCACGAGTTCGACCCCCGTCAAGAAACTGATTTGCTGCTGTTTGAGGGTGTAGACGATGGGCCTATCAGAAAACTTGATGTACGTCGAAACTTCACTCAAACCAGGTACCATTATCGACAGTCATGTGGCCCTCTCACTTGCTATTATTTTTGTGTATATTTTTCCACTATCAGGGGCAGCCCTACTCATGCCGAACGGGAGGACGCCGGCGGCGGGAGAAGTGTTTCGGAACCCCGACATGGCGGGCGTGTTGCGTGAGCTAGGGACAGGCGGGAGGGAGGGGTTCTACGGCGGCCGTATCGGGGAAGCCATGGTGAAGGTGCTCCAGGAAATGGGCGGCGTGCTCACGATGGAGGACCTAAAGGTGAGGCCAGAGGGACGAAACCATCGCCAAACGCCGTTGTTGTGTTTTCATCGGCAGCAGGGTTGGCCACGTAGGGCAGGGGTGTTTAAAGCAGTGCCTACTACGGACAGCGCAGTCTCGTTGTCAAACGCGCTTTTAGATGGACAGTACCTCGCGGTACTCTCGCTTTCGCGGTGTGCTACCGGCACACATCACCTCCCCCCCCCTCCCGGTACAACTGCGCTTGTGTCGACTACGGGTAGTGCCCCACGTTTACACAACTTGTAGGGCATGCATATGACTCGTGTTCCTACAAGATGCTGCTGTATGTCGACGGTATTGCCTATTGTCCACCCAGGCCCACACCACCGCTTTCGTGGAGCCCATCTCCGTGGAGTTCGCCGGGGTACGCGTGTACGAGGTCCCGCCGAACGGCCAGGGCATCGCCGCCCTGCTGGCCCTCAACATCCTCAAGGAGCTAGGGGTAGTCGAAGAAGCGAGGACGACGGTAGCCAAGAGCGGCGCTGCTGCTGCTGCTGCTGCTGCTGCTGCCACTGCGAAGGATGGCGGGGAAGCGGCGTACCTTCATCGACTGATCGAGGTTCTCCGTCTTGCCTTTGCGGACACGCGGTGGTACTGCGCGGACATGGACAAGGCGGAAGTGCCGGTGAAGGAGCTGCTTGGGCAGGCTTACGCCGCGGAGCGTGCTCGCCTCTTCGACCCTACGAGGTAGGCGGCTAGACACAACAGCAGCAACCAGCAAGTTCCCCGCTATCACGATGTTGCTCCCGCTTGCAAGGTTTTTGTACATGCGGCTGTTGCAATGTCGATTGAAATGGATTGGGCGACGAAACTCTTGTCACGAGTGCGGTTCCCCGTGATTTGTTTATTACTACGTATGACTAATAGGCCCAAGACCTTGATCGACTGTGAAATAAAGCACACAAGCACCCGGACAACCCTCGGTACCATTCAAGGCATCGTTTCCACATATGCATACCGCGTGCCTAGCGCCAAACACGAGAGTTTTCTCACCGGAACAAGCCGTTCTACCTCCAGCTGTATACTCGTACGTGTGCGTGCTCTGCGGTTACCATTTTTTTTTCACATGATGGCCTGGCTTCTGACGCCGCCGCATGCATCGCCAACGACTTATCATCCCTCCAGGGCGTCAGTCGACGTGAAGAAGGGTAGTCCGACCAAAAGCTCGTGCACAGTGAGCTTCCAGGTCGTCGACGATCGGGGAAACGCCGTGTCTTTTGTGAACTCCAACTACATGGGGTTCGGCTCCGGTATTGTCCCGGATGGGTGTGGGTTTTCCCTTCAGAGCAGGGGTTCTAACTTTGTGCTCGACCCGGAGCACCCGAATGTTCTGGCACCGGTAAGTGAGGAGTTGGTTAGAGAACGGCTAACGAAGTAAGCATCAGGAGATAGTTATTGGGGTGTAGCTCGAGATGTGCAGGGGGCAGAGAGATGCGGAAGGCCAAAGACGCTGAAAGAGAGCAAAGAGAGAAGAGAGGAAAGATAGACAGCGAGTTGGAGAGACGGACGTTTGTTTTTTTCTATGCCTTGCCAGGCCACCTTCAAAACCACCACGTCGCGCAGATTTTTTTGGCGTGTGCCGCTTGTGCTCTGAGCGTGCCCACGCATGTCACAGCTTGTCAAAAGAGCCGAGAATGTTGCTTGCGACAATAGCTGTACGCGATCTACACGATAATTTACATCTATCTTTGGGTGGTGTCTTGCATGTGTCTCCCCTCCGCTCTGCCAATCAACTACCGATCAGACAACAACTGAGAAGATAATCGATCCGTGGATGTACCGTACATCGTGAATCAGGGAAAGCGGCCGTACCACACAATCATCCCTTGCATGGTGACGTCAGAGGCCACGGGAGAGCTTTTCGCAACGATGACCAACATGGTGCGTTCGCGCTGAAGGTCATGGTGTTACATATAATCGTTGTTTGTTGTTGTTGCTGTTGTTGTTGTTGATGTTGCTGCTGTTATTGCTGCTGCTGCTGCTGCTGTTGTTGTTTTTGTTGTTGTTGTTGATGTTGTTGTTGTTGCTGCTGTCTTACGCTCAAGCCCGTCCTAACCCTCACAGAACGACATGTAACCGCCGTGGTCGTAGACCGAACTGGGGGAAAATAATAGATTGTGAGAAAAATCCAGAAGAAGAGCAATGCTACATGGGATCTGTGATCTACACTTCAAACGTGGCGATTTCCGGTGATTGCGATGTCGTACCGCGCAAGCCTGTTGTGGTCGTCGGCCTTGGTTCGGACCCCGCACGCAACTCTCGGTGTCACCAGGGCTCACTACTGTGTGCCTGGTATTACCCCAAGTTCCTCGATGAAGATATATTCGTGGAAGCTTTCCGCACGCAGTCCATTTGATGTTTACACCCGCCCAACCGAGCGTAGCATTGATGTGTAAAGAACTACGCCGTCGTGTGCATGAAAGACGTGCTTTTCAAAACGATTCCTTTCGCTTCTGAATTCACTGTCATCCTACGTACGCTGTCTGTGCATCGTCCATACCCTCTGCGGCGCAGGGGGGGGGGTTCATGCAACCCCACGGCCACGTGCAGCTTCTCTCGAACCTGCTCCTGCTCTTCAGCCCTTCTTTTCGCTTCTGCAATCGCGCTAATAATCAATACTGCTTAAAGTCCTTGCGTCTCTCATACCCTCTGCCGCACAGGGCGCATTCATGCAACCCCAGGGCCACGTGCAGCTTCTCTCCAACCTTCTCCTGCGGGGGATGGACCCCCAGGCCGCCATCGACGCACCCCGCTTCTGCATTCGCGACGGCATGGCCAACGGGGCCGTCGCCCTTGAGCCTTGGTACCCCGACGCCGCCGCTGCCGCCGCCGGCCGTGATACCCCAGAGGGGGCTGACAAGGGCGGAGAGGGCTATGAGGCGGTAGTGTCGGAGCTCCAGCGTATGGGTCACGACATCAAGGTGGTGCGGGGGCACGCGCGATGCGAGATGGGGCGAGCTCAGGTAGGAAATACCCCACATCCTTGGGAGCTAAGTTTTGTGCGTGGTACAAATGTGGGTCTTGCTTCGCGACGGGTTTACCGGTAGTCTAACTTTCGCCGTAGTGGAGGTCTTACAGCAGTAGCATGGCGGAGGTGGACGCTTGGCAAGGTTCGATGTTTTTTTGCGTATAAAGACAAATAAATGCCATGCATGGGAAATTGATTGCCCCGCATATGTTGTGGTTGAAGATGTGTACCCGTTGATCTTGTCGTAAACTTGCGTGCTGCGTCATATGTCTTTCAACAGTACGACAGAACTCTTTTACGCCTTTGTGTCAAATGAAAAATGACTAAATACGATATTCATGACCATCCGGTGCAACAAAATATTTGAGGTATGATACAAGATGTCGGGGGGTAAGACTCTTGGCCAGGCTGGTACAGTAAGGAGAAGTGAGAGGGGTGCTTTATCTCCACAGCTGTTATACGTGAGCATTGACTACACCAACACTAAGCCTCTCCCATCTCGTTGTGTGTTTTTAATGTTTCTGCCCGTCCCTCGTGAAACGACCGAACGATGCTTAGATTATTCAGCGCAAAATGAGTGGTGGCACCCAGGTCCTTTGGTGCGGGTCGGATGGAAGGGCTGACGGGTGTGCCGTAGCGTGGTAACGTGGCAATGTGGTATTCTAACAACGGTGCAAATACCATGGTACGAATGGTACAGGACCGACCACGGTACCATCACCGAGGAAATGCCCAAGCAAGTGACGTCGCGTCGGAAAGAGGACTTTGTTGTTGTGTGTTTTGTACGTTTGTCGAGTAAGTGCGGCTGGTTGCGTGAGATGAAAAGGAGAAGAAGACTTGCATGATGGTGGTGTGAGAGTGATAGCGCGAGGTGCGATAAACAACTACCAGAAAACTTTTAGGCGTGTTTGCCTTGTCAAAGAAGCTATTTATGTTAAACTCCTAATTTTTTTTAGAGACGACCCCATTATCACCCCCTGGTCTCACCACACGTAACGTTTTCACGAAAGTTTAACCCACTGTCATTTGGCCGTAATACGGGATACGGATGATTCGGCACGGTGCGAGTGTGTGTTTCTTTGTGTCTGGTGCTGCTGCTTTTCTTCGAGTGGTCAGAGCAAGCCTTGACGCAACCTCACATCGAACCCTGGGAGACAGAGTTAGCTAGATGGCGGAAGATAGCTCGCGGCACCAGTACTTCCCCTACATGTCATGGCAGCTTGGAGGTGTAGTCACGATGAAAGGCCGTGGACAGCGGAAAAGATTCCGTTTAGGTAGGTTCTTTCGTTTCGAGAGCAGAAACCAATCTTATGTACTTCGGGGGCGCCGCCGCCGCGTCGCCGGCGTCGCCGGCCGCGCCCGCTCCCCCGGCCGAGCGGGCCGCCTCCAGCTTCGGGCAGAAGCCGGTAGCGGGGGCGGTGTTCGGCGTTGTAGGAGGATTGAAACGTACTGTATGTAATGTCGTGGAAAGTCCAAAACAACTGGTACAATATATAAAAATGACGCGGGGGTCGTTTTCCACCGTCCAAGGAAACGATCTCCTTCAAGACACGAATGAATGATGTTGCTGCACACCGCTGCCGAAGCAGGCTGCCGTTGACCTCCACACGCTAGTTGCTGGCTGCCGGCTGCAAAAACGTGTTGTCACACGATGCTCGCGATCGCGAGACGTTAGACTTGCCCGTCAACGTGGAGGAGGCAGGATCACCTCGCTCGCCGTTCCCAAACCAATTTCATGCATATCGGCGTTGTTCACGCATATCGGCATGGGTTGGATGCATTTTCTCCGTGTACACCAGAAACATCGTGTGCATATTACACTGCACCAAGACCAGCCATTTCATGCTCTTCCAGATGGCCGTGGACACAACAGACAGCGAGAGTGACAAGCAAATCGACAGTTCACCCATCCCGCCCGCACACGATATTCCACAACCAACCCCAACTCTCCTACAAGTGCTCACCACTTTGGTGAAAAATAACTACCCTGGAGGGACTTTTATACTGCCTACATAGCAATCCCCGTGCTGTAGGGAAGTAATACTGGTACTACTGTAGAGCGCCGCGTCATGAAACACCACCACAAGACGCAACAACCAAAATTTCGAAAACATTTTACCCCTTGCCACTACAACGGCCGGGGCTCCTCAGCAGACACGAAACATCAACACAATTTTCGATTTTTTTTTAAGTGAGCAGAGGAGATAGACAGACCTCCTTGGCAGGAACGAATCCCGACAACTCTCAAGATGCCGTCCGAGATAAGCCCTACGCAAAAGATCGCGACAAGAAGAACGACAAGACAGAGAGAGACAAATACAAAGACAGCTGGCGACGATAACGAAAAACACAACCAAACTGCCGTACAGCTGTCGCTGTCACCTAAAGCAACATGACATGACATGACATGCACACGCGTGTGTCACTACCCTACCCGATGCATCAGCTGCAACACAAAACAAGATTGGTTTTTAGGAGAAGTCGACTTCCAGCAACTGGTGCCGCCCGGAATGCCTTCTTTCTCTCGTAAACTCAACGACTATCCATCAACACGGAGACTGAAACGTACATTTCCCCGTCCCTCTCCCGTCCCAAGGCTTAAAAACACTCAATACCTACCAAACACTGACCCAGAAGCCGAGCCGATACAAACGTGCTAAAAATAGCTCTCAAATCGCGACCATCGCCATCTTCATAAATGTAGATAAATTACCAAACCCTTGATAATCGTAGCAGCACCGTGACGGCCCATTTCTTGTACATTTTCGCCGCAGAACCGAAACTCCGGGGCACAAAAAAAAAAAAAGGGGGTCTCTAGACCTCTCCATATTGTTTCCGCAATATCTCAAAGCAGGAAGTAAAAGACACATTACCTCCATCTCCAGGAATAACTAAACAATATCGTCAAGATCGGGGAACAAGACGAGACATGAGAGCAGCGCTGCCCGAAAAAAATGCCGCCCACAGCTTCAACCGCACCAAATGTCGCTCTCTCCTATTCCCACGAGGAGATTCATTCCAGCGTTTTTTTGTTTTTTCCTACTCTTGACATCGAAAAGTTACTACAAACGTACAACACGACGCGACACAAAACAGAGACAAATTCTACCGCCATACCCTCTTCATCTCCGTCATACTTCTTCACATACGCTCCTTTCGACATGAACGATCCACGGCGTACGCGGGCCGATTGAACTATCCATCTAGTCTACAAGAAGAGCGTGCGGTCCTTCCTCTGCCTCGAAACCACTCGTCTCGTGGAAGCCCCCCCCCCCAGTCACCGCCTCCCGCGAGACGATGCCAGAGACGACACCGAGGAAGCACTCCGCGGCGTGAAGGCCGAACGAGGGCTGCACAGCTCGTGCACGTGCTTAGACGCATCGGGACTCGTGAAGATCGGCCCTCCGTTGCGCATGCCGCCGCCGCCGCCGCCGCCGCCACCGCCGCCCCCACCGCTGCCCCCCCTCCCGCTGCGCGCCGTCCCCGCGCCGGAGCGGCTGCCGCGGCGCACGGCCGGCGAGCGCACGGCCTCGAGCCTGATCTTGGCCAGCGAAGGCGGCGGCCTGCCGTTGAAGTGAATGTTGTTCGGGGACCCCGGGAGGACGGTGACCGGGTGCCCGTACGACGAAACCGACACGTCGTCGGAGGACATGATGGACGGCGGCGGGGAGGACGTTGACGTCTGGCTCGTACCTCCCGAAACCCCCATGAAGGCCGACGAACCGCCCCCCCTGCTGCTGTCCACATCCACGTCGCCCCCTCCGCCCCCGCGGTTGGCGTTGTTCCCCCCCCGGAACCCGCGAAGGGTCGCGCCCCAGCCCCCGTCGGCCTCGACGCGATCGCGGTCCCGCTTGTACCCCGGGCCGCGCTGGTTCGGTGGGTCCCACCCGCGCGACGAGGACGTCCTCTGGTCGCCGTTGCCGTTGCCGTTGCCGCTCCCGCTCCCGCTCCGCTCCGACGACACTACCCGTTGGTGCTGGCGGTGTTGATGTTGCTGCTGCTGTTGCTGCTGCTGCTGCTGCTGCTGACCGCGGTAGTCGCTGCTGTCGTCGTCGTCGTCGTCGTCGTCGCCGGCGTTGTAGTCGTTGTAGCCGTCCGCCGAGAGTGTGGAGTCGAAGAAGCACTTGGTGGTCACGCCGGCCCCCACGGTGCGGGGGACGCTGCTGCCGCTGCTGCCGCTGCCGTTGTGGCTCCGCGTGCCGGCGCCGGCCCCGAAGCTCCGGTGGGAGCGGGGATTTCGGCGGTGCTGCTGCCGGCTGGCCTCGATCTCCGCTTCTCCGTCTTCCGCCATGACAC